TATATATATATATATATATATATTACATATGTGTATGTATATATGTATTATTTGTTCTTTCATTAGTCAGAACGCACACAATAGTTAACATATTTCTGAACATTTTAAAGTATGCTAATCATTGTATGACAACAGAGGACCAGAATCATTAATTATTAGATTATTAAAATAACTGACAACATGCTCAAAATATAGTTACTTTTTGTTAAAAAAAAAAAAATACAAATATACTTATACATTTCTTTAATATACATATACTTAAACAAATTAATTTTAATAAAAAATTAAAATAAAAATGTCAAGAATGGTTTTAATTTCGTTTGTTCGTAAATTTGATATTCCAATGATGGAAAAATTTCAATTTCCAATTGTTTGGAAATGATATTTTAGAAGACATGTTATATTAAATTGATGTGTTAAACTATATAGATCCTATCACCTAAAAATTATGACAAATTTTACAAGTTAAAATTCATGATATATATGAGTTATTCTAAAAACTATACTTTATAGTTCTTCCTTGCAAGAATTGAAATATCGTGTAAGCATGTAATGAAGAATATATATTTAGATATATTTAGAAATAATTTAAAAAATTTAAAAGAGCGGATATACACGAAAAATTGAATTATAGATTTATATTATAAAAATATAACAAAACTTTAAAGTTAACTGCTATCAAGAGAAACTTTAACAATTTCTATTTTCTGAAGCAAATTGTATAAAATTGCATTTAAGAATATATTAAAAAAATATTAATATTTCAGATTTCAAATTTCCTGCATTTATAAGCATTTTTGGCTGTTTGATTAAATGAAAGTTACATTATTATTTTTATTGTCATTTGTAAACTGTTGTCAAATTATGACTGTGTTATAAGTAACAAAATGAAAATCAAGTTATATCACCCAATGAGAAATACAAGAAGCAAAATGTATATCACAGTACAAAAGGATGATTTAATTTACTATATATTTATAATTAAATAAAAATAAAATGAGTTGTATGGTCTGTGAATAGATTATAAAAATATATCTATTGTAGGATAATTATTTGCTTGTAGATAAATGTAAAGTTTTTAATAAATATAGGTTATTGTACAAATAAGAATGTAAACAACAATATGAAAATTATAAAATGTTAAATACCATAATTGAATAAAAATTGTATACAAATAAAAGTTTGGAAGATTATAAATTTTTTTTATTTTAATTCTTAAATAGTACAATTACAAATAAAGTACAAGAAATGCATATATACAAATCTATAATTACATTTATTATAATACAATACTTTTTATGCTTTTATTGCTATAAAGCAATCAATTTAAAAATATAATTTTATTACGTTTAAACGTTAGAAATTTTATCTTGAATATATTTTATAATAATTTGTATATTTTTGAAGTATTGATTTGTTGAAGTATTTTCATTAATCTAAAAAATAATAAAAGTTAAATATTTAACTTTTAATAATTATAATTATTATGTTCTTTAAAAAAATTCATATAATTGCATACCATTAAATCTGTAATACTAAACGTTTCATCTGAAACAATTTTTTTTACTTTAGAATTAAAAATACTAAGACATTTCACCCAGACAATATCACTATTATAATCCGCAATATCCTTGTACAATTGTACACAACATTCCTATAAATGTAAAATAATAATATAAATCAAAACAACATTTATATGTAAAAATGTTTGTAACATCAAAATTTACTTGTAATACGAGATGCTGATATTTGTCAAGGTATGGCTCTACAATACTTAAGACATTAAATGTTTCTCGTTCATGAAGATGTAAATTCTTTGTCATTTGTCCCAAGGTACAAAGTAATTCTTTTTGTAGTTTATAAGTTTGAGTAAATTTATATATACTCTCAGAGCTTTTAATATAACTTTCTCCAGCAGAATTACGCAGAAACTTTGAGAGTGGAGGTAATACTTGTCTAAAAATTATAGTAATTATTGTTGTAAATATATATAAAATATAAAATATAAAATACATACTTCAATGTTCTATGTCGTATAAAATCTTTTGAAACACGAGCTACCACATTTAATAATTGCCATGCTCGATTAATTATTAATACATTTTCATCATGAAATCTATCTACTAGTGGATGCCAAAGTACATGCACAATGGGTAATAGTTGATTTTCCCAATTTGTTAAAATCTCAAGACCTTCTTGTAAAGTTGTCATTGCAATCAATGAAATTTCTGTTTCTTTAGATGGTAAAAAATGTGTACAATGCTTCAGTACATCTTCAACTAGTTTAATGTAAAGTGGTATATTTTCTTGTCTTTCTAGAATTTTTATTTATTATATTATTATTTATAGTAATTTCTTTTTACTATTGATTTTAATAATATATATTTACCTTCTTGTTCCATAGAATTTTTTTTATATTCATTTTTTTCTATTTCTATTTTTTCTTTTTCCTCCTGCTCTTTCTCTTTAATATCACATGATTGTTCCATATCATTTATATTTTCATCAACTCTTTTTGCTTTATAATAATCTAATAGAGATTGAATAATTTTCGAAGATTCACTTTCAGCTCTTAGAAATTCATTTTGACTTTGTTCATGTACTATTGGCACATGTTCAGAATTTGCCCATTTTTTAGTACATTTTATAAATGTATAAAAAATTTTTAAGAAAGAAACATAAGAATTTCTTTTTTGAAAACTATTGTTTAATTGTAATAGCACGTCCTCAACAATTTCTTTCAAACAGGGTAATACATCCATTGTACTATATTTCATAACAACTTCAACCACATCAAGTACATTAGGATTATGTTCTACTTTACGTAATTTCATACCAACATGATATGAGAAGTAGTCAACATTTGCACGTAGAAGATCTCCTACTGTATCATGTTCCTGAGATTTTGCAATTTGTTCGAGAGTTTGAGTACCAACGAAACTGATTAGACTGTGTCCACTACCTAAAGGTATGTAGATAATGTTTTTCATGTAAATAATTATATTTTGTCATTTCTTAATTACATTGATATTGATATAAAAATTAATAATCACCTGCTCTTTCTATAATAAGATATAACGTATTAAGAAGAAATCTATCATAATCACGTTTCAAATTTTGAGCTATTAATCCCAAACCTTCTAATAATAAGCAACATCGTACCACATTGCTTTGTGCAACTCGTAAGGTTGTATCTTTACTAATTTCAATTGGTGGATACCAAAATTCAGGATTTATATAAAATTCAACAACCTCTTTATAAATTGATAAAATTGATAAATCCTTGACAGGCACTAAAATATTTAATAACATTTCTCAAACAGAATTCTGAAACAGAAAATTATTCAACGTACCACACATTATCCAGTTCAACAATAAGATTAACTCCTTTCTATGCTGTGATGCATTAAGCATAAGATCAAGAATGATATCTACTAAAATTCGAAGATCTCCAAATTCACCTAAACATTTACATATTGCAATGATTTTCGCTTCACATGCATTAGTTTGGATAAATTTAAATTGCCTCCACAAATGTGATTCATATGAATATGCTGGATCATCAAGATCTTTAACATTTACTGCTTGCAGAAGAGAGACATTACTATAATCTATTTCAGATACATATACGAGAGCCAATATTAATCTATGAACGTGAGGTGCTGACATCATAACATGCGGCAATCTTTGTTCTCCAAGAAGTTTTAAATAACCAGCAATTTGATTTAAACAAGCTAACTGGTCATTATCATCTAAAAGGTAAAGAAATATTTCGTTCAACTTTTCTTTTATATTATTTCTAAATATTGTAATAATTATTGCGATATTATCGTACCAGACCTCCTGATAATCCTAGGTAATTTTGTAAGCAAATCATAGAAATTTTCTTCTAACAATTCTACTAAGGACCTCATATTTTTATCTTGTATGAAATTTTTAATAATTGTATTTAATACTTCTTGAGCTTTGTCACGTACTGCTGGAAATTCATCTTCAGACAGACACATTAAATACTCTACTAATAATATCATATTTGGTTTCATATTCCTGTTTAAAAAAATGTATGTAATATCCTTTTAGAAATGTTTAAAAAATGAAAGATGGAGATAAAATATTACCTAGGACATGATGTAAGCAATAAATGAATACTTTCAACTAGTTCTTTTCTAACTTTATAATGAGAATGTCTTATTAACACATGTAATTGTTGAACAAGTATATTAAGTTTAATTGCACAAGCATTAAACCATTCTTTATTCCTTGTTGCACTTTTAAGATGTTTCTCTAATTCACTTCGATTTTTCACATTTGGGACACTATCCGTTGGATCAATAGGTTTTTCATTATTTATTTTGATTAAATCACTTAATGATGGTATTTGGTCTTCTTCCTCTTTATCTTTCATTACAAGAGATATCACCCTGCCCCAAGCTCTTAGTGCTATCTACAATTTAGTTGATATAAAATCTTGAATATAATTAGAAATGATAGTCTGAATTTTTAGAATTTCTTTATATTACCATCGTAAGTTTATGTCCTTGTGTTTCACTTCCCATAGCTATTTCTTGCAAACCACTGACAATGCCAGGTAAAAATAACATAATAATATCAGCAACTTGATCTTGCCATATAGAATCAAATCTGTCTGATTCATCACTAATTTGACATAATGCCATTACTGTTTCAACAGCTTCTAATCTAGAAATTTAAAAAATATAAATATAAATATATTCATGAACTTATTGAAAAAAAAAGAAATCAATAGATTTTCATTGTATTTACCTAAGGAGATTGGATTTTTCAATTCTTCCTATTGTTATTGAGAATAATATTCCTTGCCCTATTTTAGAAGCATTTTCTTTAGTGTACATCAGTTCTAAAACATTTGTGAAACAAGAATTTATCAAAGTCTTAATGCATAAGAGTACTGCTGTTTTAAGTTCTTCATGTCCTGTGATCACTGTAAAAATTAAA